TCCTGACTGGCATGCAGGAATTTTGATTGAAGAACTTGCAGCTGTTTTTGAGAGATGTCAGGAGCTATCTTTGGTCTACATCCCTCGTTTTGGTAATATGGTAGTAGATTGGCTTGCCAAGGAAGCTTTAAAGGGGTTGTTTAGTGGTGGATGGTCCTCTTTCCCCCCAACCCCTCTCTTTAAGATCTTGCAGTGTGATATTCTTGGTCGCTCACAGGATAGATCAGGTGTTGGTTAACTGATGTAAAGACCTTTGTTGCTGATAAGTGAATGAATTTCTGCTTTTGACACACAAAAAACATTATTTCTCATGCCAAAACAGCATCCAAATTGTGCAGAAGTTCAAATTCAGAATTCTACAATAACACGCAGATGTCTAAACCACTTTTTAGCTCAAACCAAAATCAAAGAGTATGTAGCAACCCAAAGAGAGTTTTGTGCTAAAACATGGCCATATGGAGTACTTTGAGTCCAAAAGAAGATCATAAAATGTGCATAAATTTATCAAAGAAATATTTGAACAGAATCATCATGAATTCGTCTCATGGAGACACTCGTAGCCTCTCTAATATGGAATAACAAAAAGGCAATGAAGAAACCAGGTATTCCACTATGCTTATCTAAAACCTTAAACTCACTTCGCTTGTCATAAGTGCCTAATAACAAATTTACATATTAAAATTAGTTATTTGTTGTAAAATATCAGAATAAAAATCATTAGTTAGAGTAGCTTATTAGTTAATCAGTTAGGAAGTTTTATAATTAGTTCAGCATACTAGGCAGCAAAAATTAATGCTTTATACAAAACATGCTATATTATGAAAATAAGCAGGGGAGGAAGTATATTATTCTCATGGGTGTCTTTAAGTTTGAGAAAGACAGTCTTTCTTAAAATGCACTATTGCATCATATTAAATGCTTCCTATAAATTATACCTTCCATTGATTTTGTCATACCTGATGCATTTTGGTTTGGCTGAATTAAAATGATTCCTCTTTAAAAAGCAAGATCAGAATAGGGCGACTACAAGGTTATTTTAACATAGTTGTTCAAAAGAATTTAGGGCTTAAAGTACTAGCCCATTTTGCTATAGCTAGACGGCCATTTGCCATAATGACCAAAAGTCACAAAAATTGCGTCAAAACAAGAAAGTCAATATGGAAAGTAATGCCAGGTGAAAAGAGATTAAATTAGATGTAATTTTTGCGCGTACGTTACAAAGTTCTTGAGTTTTCAAATGACACCAATAAAAGCTCTTTTAAAAGAGTTAATCTATTCAGTTGATGACACACGCATACATGTTAAAAGCCTCAAAGTGCACCTCTAACTCTTTTCTCGATACTTTATGTTGGTATAAAACATGATTTGCCAAATAGTTCAAATTTGAACCACAAATAACTCACTTTTAATATATTTTATACAGACTAAGAAAAACCTTAAACTGCTTTAATTTTTATTAAAAATTCAATACCTTTCCGAATTTATTTATATTTAATATGTACCTCATGTAAACAAAGTCAACATAATAATAAATGAAAGATAAAAATTTACATCTATATAAAAAATTTCTCTCACTACCCTATAAATAACACAAAAAAATATCTTCTCTCTCTGCTCTATAAATAGAATTAAAGAAGTATAATTTAGTAAGCTTTATAACTATTAGTCAAGTTTCCTCTTAACTTGAAAAGGTGCATACACACACACATATATACTCTCAATATCTTCTTCCTTTTCAATCATGCAATATTTCACTACCAAAAAACGTGTAATTAGTGACGGAATTTACCCACAGAATTTTTATTTAGTGACGGAATTAGCGACAGATTAGTGACAGATTAGTAATAGAATCATATTACTAATGGAATTTGTTCCGTCGCTAATTCTTCTGTCACCAATTGGATTAGCGACAGAATTTCAATTCCGTCAGTAATTACCGACAGAATTAGCCATGGAATTGATTTTCGTCGATAATTAGAGACGAATAATTTCCGTAGCTAATTCCGTTAGTAATTAATATATTTTTTTAAAAAAATTAAAATGCCATGTGGCACCTCTACCAGCTGCCACCTCACCTTTGCACCCATGTGTCGCCACCTCACCTCCACGTGGCTACCACCTCACCTTTGCAGCCACGTGTCGCCATCTCACATGTCACCTTTCATCACCACGTGTCACTACTAAATAATTCCTCCTCAAAGTGACTTCTTCACGATTCGAACCAAGGATCTCGTTTGTGCACGGGCACGGCTTCACCAATTGAACTGCAATGAATTTATTGACTTATTATGCAAAATTAAAAATATATATAATATTCTCTTACACAAACAATTATATATGGACATATATATTATTAGAAACCAAAAATAAACTATATGATAATTTTAATCATAACTATTTTTGTGACAAAATAATTTTTAGATATTTGTTTTACTATTTATTTTATAATGCTTTATTTTTAAAAAAATATTTTAAATATAATATTAATTTCCAATGACACTAATTTTGAATTTTAAATTGTAAATAATTTTTTCAAAAAATAGCTACCATAATAAAATCTAATAGATTATTCTATATAAAAAATTAAATGATTTTAATTATAAAATTTTAGCTACGGAATTAGCGACGAAATTTTTTCCGTCAGAAATTTCTATGACTAATTCGTGGCTAATTTTATTTTAGCCACAGAATTAGCGATGGAAAAATTTTTCGTCACTAAATTAGCCACAAAAAATTATTCCGTCGCAAATTTTAATTATAAAATTTTAGCCACAGAAATTTCTGACGGAAAAAATTTCGTTGCTAATTCCGTGGCTAATTTTAATTATAAAATTTTAGCCATGGAAATTTCCAACGAAAAAAATTTTGTGGCTAATTCCGTGGTTAATTTTAATTATAAAATTTTAGCTACGGAAATTTCTAACGGGAAAAATTCTGTCCCTAATTCTGTGGCTAAATTTAGCGACAAAATTTTCATCGATAATCCGTTAAAAATTAAGGATGAAATAATTTTTGTCGCTAATTCCGTCGGTAATTAATTGTTTTTTTGTAATGTTTATAGTTCAATGTGAAACTAAAGCCTGCAATTATTTGAGTGAGTTTGTGCATGCACTGAAGAGCTCACCAGTAATCGTAAAAAAAAAACCCTAACACACAATTTGGTTCCTAAGACTAGCTCCATATTACTTTTCATATTAGTAGATTGATTGCTTGTACATTAGTTCTTGTTCTGCTATTTACATATTGTGAGTTGCGATTTTTTTTAATTGAATAATAAAGAAGCACATTTACTTTTTATATTACTCAATTTTTTATTTGCTCCTAGTTTTTGAGGTTATCATTCCAGTGTGGAAACAAGTGGAATCTCTAATTTCAAACAACCTAACGTAATCATTCACAATTCAAAATTAGTTATTTGCGCTAACATATTTTCACCCCCTTCCTCTCTTTTCATCCCCGGAATTGCAGAGGTTGCCTTTTTCTGGCTCCAAAATAGAAGAATTTTCATGCATAATTCATTTTTATTCTATATTCTGTATACCAACTGGCCCCTTAGAAACATACCCTCTTTTTTTTTGGTGACAAAGAACAAACCCTCTTAAAATCATACCAAGTGGCCTCTTAGTTCATTTTTATTTATTGATTATTGATGCGTGGCAACTATTGTCTGCATTTATTCTTCAATAAATAAATTCCTTATACAAGCAACGAGCATATGAATTTTAGAATGTTAGTTTACACCCTCACCAGTTTAAACTCATTAGAGCCTAACATATCATTTTATTCATGATATTACCAAAATAATCAAATTTAAATAAATTTAACCATTTTAATGTCTTATTCAAAGTTGATTTAAAATTTATCTTTTTCTTATATCATGCTATTGACCTGAAATATTTTTAAAGTTTATCAGGCCATTCATTATTTTTTTAAATTGTGAAATAAAAAGATAAAATAGAATGTAACATCAAATTTATTCAAGAGGTTATATTACCTCTAATTCTAATTATAAGACTTCATTTATAGACTACAAATAAGGTTTTATAATTAGGACCGGAGGCAGTATTATTTATTAGCACATGCCAACATCTTTGTCGTGTCCTCTGTAAAAAATTGACTCTCATATTTATTTTACACTTATGTTTATTTTAAAATAGTGTTATAATAATTGAATGAGATCGTGGTATGGTGTTTTAGAGAGAGTCTAAGACAGCCTCTACAGTTTGAAACTTTTAGATAACACGGGTTGATATAAATTTTATATTTCTTTGCTTCTAAATATAAAACTTGTTTTATTGTATAATTTATACTACAAAATAAGTTTTATATTTAGAAACAGAAGGAATATTATATATTGATATATTAAATGAACCAACCCAATGACTAGTAAATCTATAATCAATAAATTATTTTTAGAAAAATTTTAAAAATTCTGAAATGCAACCAAGAATCAGTAAATTCAATGATAGCTTATAAGAGTGAACTAAATAAATCTTTACTCAATATTTCTACTTGTTCAAATATCTGCCACAATTTTACAAATAATGCTTCGTTGGGACAAGAACACGGTCTCTTTTGCCTCATGCGGCAAATTGTATGATTGCTGTACCTTGGGAAAGACGGTGAATTGATTTGATCATTACATGGTTGAAATATCATATTGGACAAAACTGCATTGATACAATGGGAATCTTTCAAAGAAATAAAAGGACAATACAGAATATCACAAAGCAACTACTAAGCAGAAGGCCATAGTACTAAGTTCTCCAACGGCCTATGCTGGTATTTGCATAAACGACAAAAACCAGAAAAAAAGACAATCACAAACAAGAACAATTTGATGAAAAATATGTCAAACTGATCATTCCCAGGTCAAAGAAGGCTATGTTATTGACCAATCACAAGCCTCACCTACTTCAAGAGCCTATGATTAGCAGCTAATTTGTTTGATCGTAAGTTCACTGCTATGTGCTAAAGTCATCAATTAGACTCAAGGAAAAATGTTAGAGGGATTCACAGAGCCTGCAAAGAAAGTAATTATAGGCGCACAGCAAGAAGCTCACCTTCTGGGGCACAAGTATATCAGCACAGAGCATATTCTTTTGGCTCTTATCAGTGATGCAGGAGGTTTGGCTGCAAAAGCTCTTCAATCTGCAAAGTTAAATCTCAATGTCATGAGGGAACAAGCCGAGAAGATATTTGGAAGAGGGGGTGGTTCTAGCGGCTTTTCTTCCATGGAATTGCGATTCACTCATGGAGCACAGCTGGTTCTTAAGCTCACACAAGGAGAAGCACAAAGAGTGGGTGAGACTTTGATATTTTTAATTTTACGATCTACAGGTTAATTTATATAAAGGTGTTTCGCCAAGTCAATAAAGATTAATCTAGTTTGTGAGGGTCAAACTCACTTTAATTGTAAGGACGAGTTCAAATCTAGCTAATTATATAAAACTTCTTTAGTCAAGATACATTTAGTGAACTCCTGAAACTCAACTTATCAAAACTTTCTGCAAAGAGAGAGAGAGAGATATAATTGGCCAAACAAATTTTAAAGAGATGCATATAAAGTACATGGGCATGATTCGAGATTTTTAAAATCAAAATAGTTATTGAGCTGTTTAAACTACTAGTTCATGATTTCTTAGACCAATAGCAAGAAACTTTCATCAAGATGAGAGCGTTAATTACATTACTTTCTGACACAATTTTGTCGCAGGCCATTCTTTAGCTGATGATAGGGATCTGCTTCTGGGCTTGCTTAAAGGGTGTGATGGTGGCATAACTGGTTTGCTTCAAAATCAAGGTCTTGATGTAAACAATATTGGAGACCAGGCAAGCAACACTTTCATTTACCTGACTTTTTCGTTTAGTCCATCTAGCTTGGGTATGAACATTTCTCAGAAAACTAAAATTCTTGTTCACACTGTTTTCCTGGATATTAAGTATTCCACAATACTAATGCAATTTAGCCATACTTACACTACGTTTCCATCTCCCCATCTTATCTTGTTCCAAGCATATCTTTTCTTGATTACTGGAGTATTTAAATTCTAGAATCGAATTGTCTGGCCAAATATCTGTTTGTGAAAACTATAAAATGTATACACAAAACATCCCTAGTTTTATTTTCTGAAGGTTTCCTGCTTATTTAAGCAGGTAAGCAGGCATATGGAAGGTGAGAAGGAAAAAGCTTCTAGCTCGAATGATCAATGTGCACAAGGTAGTAATAAGAACATTCAGGAGCCTACTCTTAGTGTGCCTATAAAAATGATTGCTGGTGAGAAGGAAAAAGCCTCTAGCCCCAATGATCATTGCGCCGAAGATTGCAGTAACGAGATCAGTCAGAAAACAACACACAGTGTGCCCATAAAAATGATTGCTGATGAGAAGGAAAATCTTTCTAACCCAAATGATCAGTATGCAAAAGGTTGTACTAATGAGAACAGTCAGAAGCCAATTATCAGTGTGCCTATAAAGATGATTGCAGGTGACAAGGAAAAAACTTCTAGTAATGAGAATACTCGGAAGCCAACTCTTAGTGTGCCTACAAAGATGATTGTAGGTGAGAATGGAAAAACTTCTTGCTTGAAGGAGCAGTGTGATCAAGGTTGTAGTAATGAGAATAGTCAGAAACCAACTCTTAGTGTCCTAGTGAAGATGATTGCAAGTGAGAAGGAAAAAGCTTCTACTAATGAGCATAGCCAGAAGCCAACTCTTAGTGCGCCTATACAGATTATTGCAGGTGAGAAGGAAAACACTTCTAGCTCGAATGATCAGTGTGAACAAGGTTGTGGTCATGAGAATAGTCAAAAGCCAACTCTTAGCGTGCCTATAAAGATGATTACGGACGAGAAGAAAAAAACTTCTCGTTCAAATGATCAGTGTGCACAAGGTTGTAGTAATGAGAATACTCAGAAGCTAACTCGCAGCGTGCCTATAAAGATGATTAATATGATGCCAGCTTCTGAGAAGAAAGAAGTTGGTTCAAAAAAAGTTGTTAAGATTACGAATTACCCAACACCAATCCTAGATATGTTTGGAACCAATCTGACCAAATTGGCACAGGAGGTAAGTTTCTAAAATCTCATATTTAGGAAACTTTTCTGCCATATTTTCTGCATTAACTCTCTTATTTGTAGTAAATCCTGCACGGTTCAACTATTTAAGTTAGTGAAAGTGGAAATTTAAACTAATGATATGCATTAATAATGTCGGGTACAATAATTTATGCTTCTATATGAATAAAGAATAATTGTGTGCATGTTTTCCTGATAAGTCTATTGATGCAACTTAACTCCTGAGGAGAATCAATCCAGAAGCTAATTTATTGGGTGAAAGTGCTCCACACAATCCCAATGGCTGATTGTTGATTATGTGGAACATACCATTGCCAGAAGATTGCTAAATGAAATCTTACTTCATTATAGGGTAAGCTTTATCCTTTTGTGGGAAGGCAAGAGCAAGTGGAACGTGTAATTCAGATTTTCTGCAGACGGACAAAAAACAGTCCTTGTCTTGTTGGAGAGCCTGGAGTTGGGAAAACAGCCATCATAGAAGGCCTTGCTCAAAAAATTCTGAGTGGATCTGTTCCTGGAAAATTAAAGGGAAAGAAGGTTGTATGTGTGAAATCTCACAATTCTCTTTTATATAAAAAGTTTAAATGAGCTGGTTCCTACGGTTTCGTCAGGGTGGTGACATGAGGCATGAACAGTTAGCTTAACTGGCATGTTTTTCTTTGTTTAACAGGTAATTAAATTGGATGTGGCTCATCTTTTATATGAAACATCATGTCAGAAAACACCAGAAGAAAGAACAAGCTGTTTGATAAAGGAAATTGAAGAAAGTGGAGATGTTATTCTCTTTATAAAGCAGGTTCATTTCTTTTTTGAAGCAACAATCATAGGAACCCGCAAGTTTTCATATATTCTGAAACATGCACTCCAAAATGGTGCCATACAGGTTTGGACATAAGACATATTTCTTCTGATCCTTTATTTTGTGCAATAGCAGAGCCATTATTGTTTCTTTAAAACACATAACAGCTGCTACTTTGTTAGTTTATTGAAGTGAACTTCACTTTGTACATGAAAAGTTTATAGGCTCTGCAACTGTGGATGAGCATAGAAGGCACATTGAAAGTGATGCAGCCCTACAAAAAATATTTCAACCAGTTGATGTTGCTGAACCATCTGTTGAAGAAACTGTGAAGATCCTGAAAGGCCTTCGTGGAGTGTATGGGACTCACCACAACGTCCGATACACAGATGAAGCACTTGAGGCTGCTGCAAAGTTGTCCCAGAAGCACATATGGTACAATTAGCTTGGCTATGACTTAGTGGTCAAAATATCTTTTTGGTATTGTTTGAACCCAAGTATAAAAGATTTTTTCTTTTCTCTTGTTCGGCTAATTAATCATCTGAGAATAGAAAATAATTTGACCCCAGTGTGATTCTGACACCTTCGTTATAATTTTAGATCAGATATGTTTTACTTTGATTATATGTGCTACACAGTATATGTCTTTCGATTAGTAAGAATAAATTTATTGGAAGCATTCAGACCTGTTGTGTTGACTACATATTGCCCAAAAACATTGATGCTCAGTATTATCATACAGTTGTTTCTCTACTTTCTAACATATTTATATATAAATTCCAGTGGTAGACTCTTACCTGAAAAAGCAATTGACTTGATTGATGAGGCGGGATCATACGTTCAACATTTTCCAGCAAAGGTACGTAAGTTATCAGATGAAGCAGTAAACCTTGGAAAATAGTTTAGGCAAGTATAAACCTACTGAAGAAAGTTGTTACGAGCTTGACTGCTAGTGTTACCACAATATCTGACTGCACACGGTCTTGTTTGTTTCCTTGAGGAAAGAATTTTTGCTCAGAAAACTGTTTGGTGAATTCCCCCAGACAAGTTTCTTATTTTATTATATTAAAAAAAAATTTATCTAGATCTATTCATAGTCTATAGTAGATGAGCTTTGTGTTGAGTGGCTTTTAGTTTTAGGTCACCACTGACTTTTTGAACCCTAAAAGCTAATTTAAGTCCAAAATCATATTTGGCATTGCTTAGATTTATTCCAAATCATTTTTTTTAATACAAACTGAAATCCAAAAGTGAACAACGAACAAGTCAGTTTAGTTTCTTGTATTAACCTCCCTCTCAATACTAGACAAAGGTAGTTGATCCAGTATACAAAAATTGCTCTCCATGGTACGGGAGAACTTAACTAAATTTCCACAGTTAGAGAGATATTCCCTCTAAATATGTTCCACTCCCCTATGAATTAAAAGCCTAACGTCGAGGAAACTCGCTTGGCCGGATGGTTAAGTAAAAGGTTGCCAAGATGCGCACCCGCCTATCCGGTCTCGGTTTCGAGCCCTCACCCGGATTAGTCAGTTACCTACAGGTGCCGAATACCGGGTGAATTACACCCTAATTCAAAAAAAAAAAAGAAAGCCTAACGTCATCTATGACATCCTTGTAAGGATGGTTTACATCGCATCCTTATTAAAGAATCAACCTCAAAACAATCAGTATACACCATAATGCTCCTATAACCCCCAGACCAGCACAATTGAAGGCCTTGAATGATTCCAATCACTTCCGGAATAGCTAATGGAACCATAGTGAGTCTCACACCTCCATCCGTCAGCGTTATCCCTGATCCCTCCTCCACATCTGCCTTTGCCGTCCTGTAACAGAGCCACCCACCTCTTGTGACCAGAGAAATCGTGGGGATTGAAAATTCAATGGAGGCGGGGACTTCACTCCAGTAAGATCTTTTTCCTTACTCTTTTTGATTTTATCTATGAATCTGATTGCTTGGAATTGTAGAGGCGCTAGAGATTTGCTTCAAAGAAAAAATACTGATGTCATGATTTTGTGTGAAACTCGTGTGAGGTGAAGCAAAGCTGACAGAATGATCGGTAGACTTAGTTTCAATAATTGAATTAGATTGGAATGCGCTGATTATGCACAGGGTATATGGCATTTGTGCAATGAGGAAGACGTCTCTATTTAGTACTTTACTTCCACCATAAAACTCCTTCGTGTGTTACAATCAGATTCATATAATTTTTACAACGTTAATGATCCTCACAAGTCCGAAAATGACAGTAATGAGCTTATAACAATAGGCATAGAGAAAGCTAAAAATAGCTTTCTCATCTATTTTTGTGAAGAAAGAACCTTCTTCTCTTCTCGGCGTAGGCCATAAGCTGATCCCGGTTCACACCCTGAGCTAAGTATTCAAGCTCATACTTCCGCTGGACATGATATCGAAATTCAGTAGAAGCTTCAACGAATTGAGCCACAGTGGGATGGTCACCGATGCCAGCCTCGCCGGCATGGGTAGTACGGTATTCAGCCCAACACCTCTCATCAAATTCATAATACTTGGGAGGGTTGTAGGCGGAAAAGGGTAGGTAGAGTTGTTTATTCTCAGCCAATTCCTCCTTCATTAGGGCCCTTTGCTGCTTAAGTTGAAACTTCAACTTCTGGATTATCTCTTCATGGGGCGCACGGATCCGCTTCTCATTCAGCAGCAAATCATTCCTTTGAACGTCAAAGGCAGAAAACAGGACAGCCTGATCCTCGCTGAAAGCCGGCAGGTTCCGCCCGACGACAAGCTTCTCTTCAAGAGCAACATTAGCAATAGAATTCTGACCCAAAGAAGTAGGAATCCATTTGAGAAAACGCAGCCAGGATGGGAAGTTAATGGCATGCAACTGAGTCCACATCCGATTCCGGACCCCAGCAGTGAACATGAAAGCTAATTGATTCTCATCCTTCCCACTGAAGATACTGAGCAACTTGAGATACTGCTTCGAAGTCAAGCCCCTCATGACATACTGGGTCTCAGAGAATAGGCGGGCCGGCACATCGTGGGAAGCGAGGGCAGCGGCGATGTGAGCAATTTGATCCTTAACGGGATCGCCACGACCACCGGCAGGCGGAGAGCGGCCACCAATACGGCCAGAGCCACGACTTGTGGACGAACAGCAAGTGTCACAAGAAGCCATAACGGAAAGAAGAGAGGGGTAGGAAGTAGAAACACGAACACCTGTGAAACGAGAGAAGGAAAAAGGGGAAAAGAAACACAAGGAGAGGAGACCTTCAGAGAAAGAAAGCCCGGGAAAAAGTGGCCAGCTAGAAACACAAACACTGGCTAGGCTACATTTTAAAGCCGGTCCATTCGAAGGGCGTGCCTGGTTTGAGCGGGGAGGGAAAATATCTCTCCGCTCATTGGTTAGAAATTTCGGAGGCAGGGAGCCAAAATCTCACCACCCTTCTTTTACCACTTGGCTCCATTTTGACTAGGAGTCAAATTTTCTTACAATTTTATTCCTTATAATTTTTGAATATTCTATTAGGGCAAATTAATTTAAAATAATAATAAATAATTTTTTGATTATTTTGCTCTCATAATTTTTGTAAAAAAAAATTCCTTACTCGTTTTGCATACAAAGGACAAATTAATTTAACAAAAAAATAAAAAATAAAATTTCTTAACTATTTTGCCCTCATAATTATTGTGATATTCCTTTTTAAAAAAATATTATTATATTAATTAGAAATAAAATACTCTTCCGATCTTTAATAAGAAAGTTAGATAAGTTAGTTAATTATAAGAAATATAATATGTTTTTTCTAAAACACCATAATTATCCTTCTTAATATCCTCCCTTCCTCTTTTACTTGATTATGATTGAAAGAATATTCATAAGAATAATTTAAAAAAAATTGATAAACATGAGAAATAGGTCTTATATTTAGGACCAAAATCAACTCAACAATTAGGTCATATATTAAGGACCAGAGGAGTATATCATGATATGATTTTTATGCACATGTTAAAAACATGTTAAGATGAAAATGAATTTTAATAAAGTATGCAATTTAAATTAAGATGTAAATTAATACTACCTCTAGTCCTTAATATAAAATCTTAGTTGACTTTTATTTTGGTCCTAAATATAAGATCCCAATCCACTTGTGTCTCATATTTATGCATTTTTTCCCAATATAGTCTTTCTAATAATGGTAATTCTAGTCAATATATTTGATTAACAAGGATATTTTAGAAAAGACAACACATATTTATTACAAATAGGGTTAAAGTGCATCCAGCACCTTAAAATATTTTTTCAAGTACATCTAGTACCTTAAAATATTTTATGATGCATCCAGCACCCTGAAATATTTTTTCAAGCACATTTAGTACCCTAAAATATTTTATGATGCATCCAGCACCCGGAAGAATTTTTTTTTGTGCATTCAGTATCTCAAAGTATTTTTTTTAGCTGCGTCCAGCACCCAAAAATATCTTTTTGGTGCATGTAGCATCAAGGCAAAAAAAATATTTAAGAGTACTGGGTACCTCCCAAAAAAACTTTGTGGTGCTGGATGTACCACAAAATATTTTAGGGTGTTGGATGCATATTAATCCTTACAAATAACTAACTTAACTTATTTTTTTAATCTCCTCAAATTAGTCAACTAGCTCTTACAATTAGAATCGGAAGTAGTATATATATAGCATGTAAATAAAAAATAATACGTACTAGTAGAACAGTAAATTAATTATTATCTCGGTCAAAAAATAGTAAATTATTATCATCATCTTCTCTCTTAAACCGAATAAAGAATCATTAAAAATTCCTCTCTTCCCCTTCCTTGAGCAAAACCAAACGAGGTAACCCTCCCTCCATCTCCACTCTTACCCTCCTCTCAAACCAAACACATTCCAAAAGAAGAGAGTGGTCTCAGGACCTGAGGCAACCAATAGAGAGACTTTTTTTCTTTTGATAAAAGCCAACGCAAAAACTTAAATCTTTATAGGGTTAAAGTTCAATTTTGTTCCAAAATTTTTTGTATGAGAGCTATGAGTATTCAGAAGTCTTTGTTGGACTAATATCATTCCAAAAGTGTTAAAAAGAAACAACATCATCTCTAACTATTACATTATTTTTTCAAAAAAAAAAAAGTTAAGAGTAATAATCTTTTATAACACTTCTAGGGTAATAGATTCAACACAAACTTATGGATACTCACAACGTAAACTTCCAGGGCAGAGTTACACGTTAACCCATCTAGATAACATGGATCAATTAAAAATTGCGCTAATTTTTTTTTTTTAAAATCTTAGAAAGTTTTTAAATTTTTTTTTTTTTAAATCTTGTGACATTACAAAGGTCTCGTAACCGTCAAGCTCAAAGGTACCTTGTCAATTGAACCATTACATAACCATTTACAAAACCTCCTCGGCACCAACGAGTACACTATATCTGGTAAGATAGAACAAGCTTGCCCTTAAGTTCCTTTGTTCTTCATAGTCAATAAGCTTGTTCCTTAGCTACTTTACTACTTCAAATACCGTAGAGCAAATCACCGTTTTACAAATTACAAGCTAACTTGTGTGTCACATTGAAAACTTCCAATCCATGTTCTAGGTTTCGGAAGAAAAACTCAGAGCAGGGTAAAATCATGGCAGAACAGTCTTTCTTTATGTATAATCCCAGACAGTTAATTCTTCCCAAATATCTTATACATTTAAATATTAACTTTGAATTGTTTTGACACAGGACAAAAGAAAGCTACGCAGTTTTTTCCCTGAAGTGACAAAATCTGATATTCAGCATATAGTGTCATCCTGGACAGGCATCCCAGTGAAAGATGTATCAAGAGAAGAGGGCGAGTGCCTCCTCAATTTGGAAGAAAAGCTTCAAAACTACGTTATTGGACAGAATGAGGCTATCAACATTATATGCCGAGCCATTCGACGTGGCAGACTAGGTCTCGGAGATATGACAAAGCCAATTGCTAGCTTCCTGCTCACTGGTCCCACTGGTGTAGGAAAGACCGAACTGGCAAAAGTACTGGCTGCAGAATATTTTGGTTCAGAAGATGCCATGATACGGGTGGATATGAGTGAGTACATGGACAGACACACGGCAGGCAGGATGGTTGGGGCTCCTCCAGGATATGTTGGCTTTAGTGAGGGTGGTCAATTAACTGAAGCTGTTAAGCATAGGCCTTATTCACTAATCCTTTTTGATGAGATTGACAAGGCACATTCTGATGTATTCAATATCATGCTTCAAATTCTTGATGATGGCAGACTCACAGATGGCCAGGGCCACACAGTGGACTTCAAGAACACACTCATCATAATGACTAGTAACATTGGTTATAATAACAGAATGATTGAGGCAGAGAGTATCTGTATAAAGAAGCTAGTAATGGAGGAAATCAAGAAGCATTTCAGACCAGAGTTTCTGAACAGATTGGATGAGATAATTTTGTTCAACCGACTGACAAAGATGGATGTGAAGCAGATTGCAGGTTTAATGTTGAGACAAGTTTCTGAGAGGATGAAGGGAAAAGGCATTGATTTTTCTGTGACACAAAAGTTCAGTGACCATGTAGTTGAGCATGGTTATGATCCAAGCTATGGTGCTAGGGCATTGAGAAGAACTATTTCAAGATTATTAGAGGATGCATTGGCAGAGAAGATGCTGACAAGAGAGATAAAGACAGGAGACTCAGTTGTGGTGGATGTTAGTTCTGAAGGAAATGTTGTGCTCAAACAGAAAAATGCTTTTGTGAGTTGTATCAATTTAAATAGGAATATTGTAGCTGTGGAAAAAAGAGGAAAAGAGGGTGAAGTCACATGCAATTTCATGAGCAAGATGTTTGACCTGCTAGGGCATCAAAAAAGCCCATAGCTTGATCACAGTTACGCTATTTTTCTTCATTCTGTTTTGTTGTAAAGAGATTCTAATGGAAAATGGAAGACTCCTACTAGAAGTAGGAGAGTCTAGGATGATTGGATTGGTTTTGTATTGTATTAGTCGTTTCTATTTTAAATTCTTAAGATTTAGATATCTTTTAAGAAAATTTTAGTTTGATTTAGGTTTGATAGGATTTATCCTATTATCCTATCTTATAAGAGCTATCTTTAGTTTAAAATTTAGGATTTAGTTTAAGGTTAGATTTATCTTTAGTCTGATAAACATGATCTTTTTGATGGATTGAATAAAGTTGAGTTTTGTGTTTACTCTCTCCATCAACTTCTTCCTCTTCTCCCCCCTTCTCTCTCTTTCCTCTTCCGTTTAGTTGTTTTACATTACATTCCTAACACTCCTGTGATCATATCAAGGTATATTGATTTGGATCTTTGAATCAATTTAAAAATTAAGACCTCCAAAGAATCCTGACACATGATAGGTCGACCTAATACGCATTTACTGGAAAAGAATAGAAACCCAATTGATAAAAAATGACAGGAATTTTATGCAAAATCCCAGCATATGAAAATCAATCAAGATGAGGAGTTTCAAAACTACACCACAATTTGAAAGCATGAACTTTCATGTGCCTGGACAGAATTTTTGTTCCAACCTAAACTGTTTTTAACAGAATTTCGGCACAATATAACACTAATATGCAGCACTTCAGACTGAAACTCAGTCCAAAACAAAAGCATGTCTTTTGTAAAATTTTACCATTAAATTTGAGCAGAAACATTATTTCTCATACCAAAACAGCATCCAAGTTGTGCAGAAGTTCAAATTCAGAATTTTACAATAAAATGCAGATGTCTAAACCACTTTTTAGCTCAAACCAAAATTGACAAGTATGTAGCAACCGAAACACAGAGTTCTGTACTAAATTATGAACATATGGAGTACGGCCCAAAAGATCATACAACGAAAATAAATTTATCAAAGAAATATTTACTCGGAATCATCATCATTCGCAGGGATTTTAAGCCTAAGACATAATATCCAACACGTGCAGAAATTTAATTCAGAGAATTCGTGCAGAAACTCGGCCATTTGCAGTAGCGTGTAACCCAAAGACAAATCCCACAATGTGAAAAAATTTCTAAGATGAATTTGCGTATAAACGTGGCCATCGCAGTGAATTTTAGGTTTTTTTCTTTTTTACCCAAATATGATAAACAGTAAAAACATTTACTTAGATACGATAAAATAAAAAATATTTACCCAGATGCTATACCTGAAAATCGTTCAAACCGTGATTGAGTTTAAATTTGTACATAACTCGTTTAGACAGAGAACGAGTTCAATGGAACCCACCTCACAAAATAAAACTTGTTCTTAGTCCAAACAAGTTTATTGGAACCCACAATCCATTTGTCTTTTACCCCAATACACTCGACGTGATTCTTTCTTTCTTATTTGACTAGAACCCCATGCTTTTTTTTTTTTCACCCACACACGCAAAGCTGCTCCTGGTTGAATTCTTTTCCCAAATATTTCTATCAGTATAGGGCTTAGGAAGTAGTCATTCGAATGTCTTCAGCTCACGTGTAGTACGTGTTTTTTTTTTTTGGCATGTGAGTGCATAGTCTACATTCTATTATTGTCTATGCATGCAATGCCATTCTTACTAAAATCTGTCTTTCTTCTTGTTACTTCTCAAATTCTTCTCAAAGTTCTCTAGCTCCTTCCATTTTTCTTTCTCCTTTCACACTTTCATTTAGTGAAGTCGGTTATTTGTACGGTCTTACAAATATTGTATATAGTTTATCTCAACTTGAAGTTTAATTTTTCTTCTAACTAAGGTACATTCTCTTGATTAAATTTTTTTAAAAAAAATTATTGTATGTATTTTGCTAGATGATGGATAAGAATTTCATATTTAGTCATTTTTACATGTTGAGTTTGTTTTGATTAAAAAATGTAGACATATAATTAATTTTCATATAAAATAAAGGGAAAGTTACAAATAAAGACCCCTCAATATGTTCCTCAGCCAAATTGTGATTTGGTCTATGAAGTTATCATTCGCTAAAATGAACTTTTCATCTCCCAGAGTCAACTTGTCATTTGACTGAGAGGTATTTCAAACATTTCACCATGATTTCATATTTGCAAAAGTAAGACTGGGTCTTTATTTGCTATTTTTCAAATTTAGGATCCCAAATCACAATTTTACATATTAAAGGGTCTTTATTTGCAATTTTTCCTGAAATAAATTGTAGTTTACTTTTTTATAATCTGATTAAATATATATCTATTTTTTAGTAGATAGTATTTGAGTAAATATGTAATTAGACTAAATATGTATCTAGTTAGATAATGTTTGGTTGTGAGCTTAGTCCAGTTTTCTATCTAGCCAATGAAAACTAGCACCAAATGGTGCCAAAATTTTGTTGATAGAAAAAGTACTAATAGTGGGATTAATAATCATGAAAGAAAAGATTTTTTTAAAAAAATTTTGGAAAAATTAGAGAGGAAGACCTAGAAAAAACAATATTTATTAAAGAGGATCTTAAAAATTATAGTTATTTAGAGAGACCAAATAATAAAATATAAATTTTAAAAAATACTCAACAGGAATGGCTAATTATTTTGTCATATTAAGTAATTATAATTTTTAAATAACTAGTGTGAAATAATTATTAACATTTATTTTTGTTTTCAATTATAAGGATGCTTTTTTGGGTCACTTAAACAATACCTATGTAAAATTACACAAATGCATTCATTATAAGCTTATCATTATTCAATGTAAATTTACCTTTATATGCTAGCCAAAGCATATATATCATCAGAAGCTTTTATTCACAATATAGAAAGGAAAAATTACACTCGGTCCCACATAAGACAATTAATTCAAAAAAAGTTCCTGAAAATCCTGAAATAATTCCTAAGTCCCTAAGGACTTGTGTGTAATAAATTATAATTGTGAAATTACCTATTACTCTTATTAATTTGAACCCAATGCAATTCATTTATAACTTTAACGGTGGTTGTTAACAACTCGAGGAGAAGTGGTTAACAACCTCGGCAATGCCCCTGGCATCCCGCATAGTGAGTTGTCAGGAGCACTACCGAGGCTGTCAACCACTTCTTATCGGGTTGTCAACAGTTACTATTGAGGTTGTAAATGAATTGCTATAATAAAATTAATGGGGATAAGTAAGTAATTTGACAATTACAATTTATTACACATAGGTCCATGAGGACTTCATAATCATTTGGGATTTTCAGGGACTTTTTCTGAATTAATTGTCTTCTATAGAACCTGAGTGTAATTTTCCCATATAGAAATTAGATGCTGAAGCCTGAAAGGAATATAATTATTCTTTAATAATATAGATAAATTAAAATTGAACATTTGAAATATGAAGTTGGGACCAAGAGAAAAACGAAGCAAAGGCAATTTTTTTTAATAAAAAACTCACATTTTCAAATTTATTTATTTACTCAAATATTTATCTAATTTAATCATTCAAAATATCCAATAATAGAGCGTAAGTTAGAAGAAATTTAGGGATGTAGTTAATGGGCAATTTAATATTTTAAAATATATTTTATCCTTTCAAATACTTATAATTTTTAAGATCCTTTCTAATAATGAAGCAGAGGCAATTATTTTAATTCATATTGTTTGAAAATTTAAAGGAACAAGAGCCTCAAAATTTTAGTTATTCTGATAACATACCAGTCTCATCATCAAACCCTATCACCTCTTCCAATCCAACTTATTTTTACCCTCATCAAATGCCATCATCATTGATATTATCCCATTCCGACTCATCCAATCCTTCTTAATTTCAATTGTTCATGTAATGATCTTGTGTTATTTATGGATCAATATAACACTTGTCTTTTTGAATAAGGTGGTCTATCAAATAATGCATTTGTCACCCCTCAGCAATCAATTTCTTTAGTTGAATCACCTTGGTTTGATTTAAACACGCCAATTACGCAGACAAATAAGACATAGCATGCGGGGAGGAGACCAAGATATGGCACCGGGAATCATTATTTGTGAGGTAAATTAATTCTTATTTTTTGTTCATGTCAATTTAATTATTATTTATTATTAATTTTATAAAACTTAGTCGTTACTTATTTTCATTAGTCACTTTTTAATTAATATAATATTAATTATTATTATTATCATTATATAATGATTAACTCATTATTCTAATGATATGATCATTAGTAAAATCTTTGTAAGGGTATTTGTGTGGTGAGATATTATAAAGAAGTTGTTCAAAGGTTGATAAAGTTTAAAAGTTGTTCACTCTAAAATAAAATTCAATTTCATACTAAACAAAGTTTATTAAGAAAATTGTTCTTACTTAGATGAATTTTTAGAAGTACGGAAACGAGAAACCTGAGAAGATTTCAGTTTCATACGTTCAATCCACACCCTTTTCCTTAATGAGTGGGTTGGTTGTTCAAACCAAGAACAACTTTGAGTGTAATATTTGGAGAAATAATTCCCAGGATTTTTTTTTTACTGTTTGTAGCTTGTTGATAAAAATTCCGTGAATTTTAGCCCGACAACAAAATCCCAACATGTGTAGGAATTTTAATGTTGGGAATCTCTGCAGAAACTTGGTTGATGCAACACAATTTCACAGTAACCGAAGGAGAGGAAGTATGAAGAACCAAAATTGCTGGGTTTTCATCATAATTTGTGAATGAGCAGCAGACTATTAAATAGTTTCATCATAATTTCATTATATACACCATCGTCCAAGTATATATGTATATATCGTAAAATCTGGTAATATATATATATATATATATATATATATATATAAAGAAAGAGGATTTAGAAATCATTGAAAGGTATCATAAACACTTACCCCTAGCACATTTATAATCTAATGTAATTAGTTCATAAAATCTATCAATGAACAAGGGTTTAAGAAAATTCCATTAATAGAAATATTTATCTGGATCTAAAATTATTTCTATGTTTTCAATATATTTTATGCTGCGGTTATGTTGAACATTAAATGACTTTTTGTTCCAGGGATCTCGATGTAGGTTTCATCCCTAAAAATAGACAAGGAATTTGATGTATTGGTTAATTCTAGGAAGAAAGGACATGTATTTTTTCTAAAGACAAACAAAAAAATAACTATACAAATAAAACATTGCTAAATAAAACTTAAATTTACCCCAATTTCAACAAAATCCGAGATCACTTTTTGTCATTGAAGCTCCTGTGTTGGTGCCATGAGAACTTGTGGTTGCAATTGTTGAAGGGGTGAATACCACATCTTTGAAACAGTAAAAACCCGTAGACTCTGTTATCACCCAAAATTGTAGCTTCATCAATAAGCTCTCTGGTCATTCTTCTTTCCCATCATCTGAATCTCTGAGAAACATAGATTGAAGCTCCTAATTCAACAATTCTTATCTGCAGAATCGCAGCACACAACAGAACAGGGCACTTAATCTTTCTCCCTTTCATTTGCAGGTCAATCTCCTTTATTGCTTCCTTCAACTCTTTCTTGGTTCAAATTTTCTTCTTCAAGTAATCATTAGCTTTACGATTTCGGTCTCATTTATCTCCTGATTTGTCATTTATAGCTTTCGCGAACACCAAGAAAATTATGGAGCCAAATGTGGTGCAGAAGCCCCCAAATATCATGGTAAAGTCATTGGATGAATGTAAAATGAAAATTTCAGATCTGGATTTGATCAATGACATGAAGAAGATTAATTACTCAGATTATTTGTCATCACCGTCGTCTCCATCAGGCATCAGTAAGCTATCTTCAAACGGAAAGTGGAGTTGCCTGTGCTCGCCGACCACCCATGCCGGTTCCTTCCGGTGCCGGCACCACCGCGCTTCTTCGGCCCTTTTTCGCGGCAAATCCGTCGGTTCCAACCTCTCTGAATTGGCTTCAAAATCAGGCGGAATGGGTGACTGAAGACGAACAATTTTCTTCCAAGTTGTCTTCAAATTTCAAAAATTTGAATTACTTCACCTGTGAAAATTAACGTATCTAATATTGTTTAATTTATATGTGAATATTGATAATGAAGAACAAAAATAATTGAGTTTTCCTATTTAATCTTGTCGCTGGTAATATTCTTTAAACATGCATCGTGGTCATTAATATGTTCATATAATACGCGAATTCCATTCCTTCATGAGAAAAGTAACTATCAAGTTCTGTACTCTAGGAAAATTAATTTAGGTCATTTGTTAATGTATACAACAAATCTGATGTCACCGAATCAATCAGGGAATGCGGTGAAGATCAACGGCGAAGGCAAAGCAATTGCAGACTTTCTTTTCTAAAAAAAAAAATTAATATCAAGGGGTATTGTGTCTTTTCATAATTAATGACTGATTATAAAATAAAATTAATGTAAACATTATTACTCCTTACCAAACATAATTTTAAAAGCCACAATCCCAATCCCACTCTCAATTCCATTTCTAATCACATTCCCAATCCACCAAAATTCAAACCTGCATACCAAACGTAACCTAAGAGTTACATATATAGCCTGATGTTATTATGTTGTTTTAATAATTAGATAAAGGGAAAATCTGGGAAAAGTAACAAATTGAATCTATAATTGGTACATAGGACCTGAAACTTTTTATTTCATGTGCATATATCTTTACACTATCAATTTACCAAAATGTCCTTGAAGAATTTAAGAGAAAAAAAGGCCTCCAACCCCAGGTTTTCTCTTCCTTGAAACTTCCGACCACCCACACCAAAACCAACAACTCTCACCCATGCCTCAATCAAAACCGTGAAAAAAGCATCAGAAATGAAAACTATGGAACAATAAAATATGAATCATAGAAAATTAAAACCGCTGAGCAACATAAATCAAAGAGGTCTATCTTAAACACAGATCAGCGAATGGTTTGATGATGGCAGTCATGAAAGACTATTGTAGAAATTGTGAGTTTCACGAATATTGATAACCATAATAGATGCGAGATCCATGGAGGGACGCTCAAACCCAGAGATCTGCAAATTAATTATTTGAACAGGATGACATATCATATGTATGTACAAATAAGAATCCCTCTAATTACAATAGATCTTTCATTGTATTCGCCTAAGGCTAGATGCAACCAAACTTTAATAGAGCGCAACATATCATCTGTATGTGTAAATGCAAATTTCTCTAAGTGCAATTGATCTTCTACTGTGTTCACCTAAGACTAGGTACAACCAAAATTCAATATAGTGCAACACATCATCTGTATGTGCAAATAAAAATCCCTCTCAGTACAATTGATCTTCCACTGTATTGTTCACTTGAGATTAAGTGCAATTCAATAGAGCACAACACATTATATGCATGTGCACATAAAAACCATTTTAAGTGCAATTGATCTTCCATTATGTTCATTTAAGACCTAGTGTAACCAAACTTCAATAGAGTACAACACCTCATCCGTATGTACAAATAAAAATACATTTAAGTGTAATTGATCTTCCATAATGTTTCTTGGGGCTAGGTGCAACCAAATTTCAATAGATGGCAACATATCATCTATATGTGTAAATGCAAATCCCTTTGAGTAAAATTAATTCTCCATTGTGTCCTCTGAGATTAGATGCAACTAAATTTCAATAGAGTATAATATATCATCCGTATGTACAAATTAAAATCTCTCTAAATGCAATTAATCTTCTATTGTATTCATCTAAGATTAGGTACAACTAAACTTCAATAAAGTACAACACATCATTCATACGTGCAAATAAAAATCTATCTAAGTACAATTGATCTTTCATTATGTTCACCTAAGGTTATTTTAGTCTTTTACCTTACCATACTTATTTATACTAAAGGACCTCATCCTCTCACAAATTTCGAGTGACCAGTTCTCAAATAAATTTCTAAATGGGTATTTTCCCCAAATTTCCCTTAGATAAAGTATACTAGGATTTTATAATCCAATCCACATGAAGCACCTCTTTCAATTTTTTAAGACTTTTTTACATATAAAATTGTGAGTTCTAACCATTAATATAAGATATAATCTGTAGGTTATTGACAAAAAAGGAAAAATTGGAATAAATTAACTATAAAATTTAATTTTTTATTATGGAAGATCTTGAGAGTTACAAGTATTTAACAACTAAATTTTTAAATAAATTGTTGTGGGGATCTTATAATTCAATAATTCAATAGACATCAATTACCTACTTTAATTCTTTCTCAAGTCTTTTCTAAACATGGAATTATGAGTTGGAATCATCAATAACCCAAAATATAAATATGTATTCATTTAGTCTTTTAATTTTATATAAAAATTTAACTTGATCCTTTAAATTTAAAAAGCATATTTTTATTCTTTTAAGCATAAAATGGTTAACAAAAAATGATGATGTTGAAATCTTAAATATTAATAAAACATTCTTAAATGTTAATATATTAAGTTTAATTTTCAAAAGAACCATTATCATTATAAAAATAATCATTTAAACCTAATAATTTTAGAGTTAAATAACTAAAAATATATTTTTTGAAGTTAAGGGACTAATCAAAACCTTATATAAAGTTTAAAAGACCAATTATATATTTTAGTCAGCATATAGCTACTAAATTGCCCTTGAGGTTAAAAGAATTAAATTTCCCCCTAGCCAAACCTTTAAAATTCCTAAGTGCAAGAATGAGTAATCCACAATCAAACATGGAAAGAATAATATGCTGGAAAGAGTTGGAGTGCAATAAATCAGTTGCAATCATGATAAAAATGAAGGCTAGTTTGGATCAAGGCGCAAGAACCTCAACCAAATGCATGTTTGTTTCTTATTATTGGCTCTTGCAAAATGACATTGAGCCTATTTGGCTCAACGGTTGGGGCAGTATAAGTTACTTTTTTTTTTAATCCAGAAGCATATTTAGAAATTTTGTAGCATTTGGATTCACAGTGAGGCAATCTAACTTTTGTATGAAAAGTTATAATAAGTTATAAGTAGAGATTAGCTGTTTATGACTTATGACTTATGGTTCATGACTTTTGAAATATATAGAGAGAAAATGTTAAGAAATTTACAACTTTATTTTGTTCTTATTATAAGCATCAAACAACTATTTTGTAGATAACGAAAAAATCATTTAAAATTAGTTAAAATAATAAATAAGTGAGAAAAATACTTTTGTTTTTAAATATGTCATTATTATAAATAATAAAAATAAAAAATATATGAGATCAACAAGAGCTTATAAATAATTTAAAATTATTATATTATGTAAATTGATAATTTTTTATTTTTTATTATTTAATAAAAGTCATACCTATTTTGATAATTTTACAAATTAAGATTAGTTATTCAATCATAATTCAAACAACTTACTTTCACAAACTAACTTATTTATAAAAGTCAATTTAAACATAAATTACATTACCGGATCTAACTTTTACCCAAATTAACTTTTTTAAAAGTCAAATTAAAAATAAGTTATTTTTCTTATTGTCAATCCAAATGAACCCATTATATGGGTGCACAACTGTTTTTTCATACAAATCTGTGAACATGGAATCACGTTTGGAGGCTCGAACGTGCATCCCCATAGTCTAAGAGTGTGTTTAGAATCCGAGTGGTAACTCCCAAACTGACTTCTCCACTAAAAAAAGCTGGAAAAAGTAACTTTTTGTTTAATACATATGTTTGGATTGGTTGTGGAGATAAATAGACTAAACGAACTTTTTTCCAAAAACTCCAAGTTATTGCTTTCATCTTCTTCACTGCACGTTTGGATAGGTGGGCCCATGAGTGAGCGAGGAGAGAATATGCTTTATGCATGATGTGAGTTCTCTCTACTTTTTTTTTTTTTTAAATCCAGCCACTTGAGTTGGTTTTTAATATTAATGAAACCATTTTTTTTAAAAAAATGATTTTATTATTCTTTATTATTTACTATCATATTTTAAACTCTATGGATAATTGAGGAAAATGTTTTATTAAAATTTAATTGGTAAGAAGTAATTGATAAATTTTTATATACTAAGTGTAAATATATAGATATAGAATGATTGTATTATGATTTAGATCTTCTCACTAATACATTTTAAATAGGAGGAATTTTCTCAATTTTTTCTAAAATTTAAATATATTATTTTAGTTTTAATTATTCTAAAAAATAACTATTTTTATTTTTATAATTTTAATTTTAATTATTCTCTGACAATTATCACATTATAAATATATAATATAAATATGTACCATTCAATAAAGTTCATGTCCATTTCAGTCATTTTACATCTAAACTTATTTTTTTATTAATCATTCAAATGAGTTTCAGCTTCTCAAACCAACTTTTTTACAAAAGTCAATCTAAACATAAATCACATTATACTACCTGATTTTTACCCAATCTGACTTTTGCAAAAGTCAAATTGAAAAAAAAAAACTTCTTTCACTGCTAATCCAAACACATCCTAATTGGGGTAACTCAAAAGTACTTTTTAAAAGTATTTTTACACAACTCAAGACAAACTCATTTATATATTTACTTCGTATACCATAAAAATATTTTTAAAATCAATTTTATTTCTATCCAAGACTCTTTTTTTCACTAAGTGGTGTTTGACTTAACATTTTTACATAGACGAGTAAACATGAGTAAACATCTACTGGCGGAAAAAAAAAAAAAAAGAGTAAACAGCCAGAAGCTTTTGATATTTACTTTAAAAATTATATGATTTCTAATTCACACACATATATATATATATTATCAAATAAATGTATTTAATTCAATATTTTTAGTATTTTTAATTTCTTCCTAATAATAAATTAATTTTTTATTTTTTAATAATTTTATTTTCAATATTTTTTTACAATTGTCACATTATATACATATAAAATATGTTTTACTTAATAAAATTTATTTTTTTAGTCACTTTATATTTAAACTTACTTTTTATTTAATCATCTAAATAAAG